ATCGTGTTTTGCAATGGATCGATCTATATATCATTTTACCCCATGTAAATATATCGATTATCAGGGGATTCTTGAATAATCGATTCTTTACCAAATAGCCGGTACATCTAGAATGGAAAATTAATAAGCCAGCCCTTAATCACAGTTTTAAAGAGTTATGATTAACTTTTTTTTTTCTAATGTGGCAGAAAGTGCAGTAAATTTAAGATTTTTAAAAAAGATTTCAATTCTTCTTTAGAAATAAGAATGTGAAGAAATGTAAGATTTCAAAATAGTGCTACAAATCTAGAAATTTACATCTTTATTAGTAAGATTGTTTAAATTTTAAAAATTTTACTTATTTACAATTTGATTTACTTATCTTTTTAATCAATATAATATATTTCAATATAAAGTTAGTTAACTTTAGGTCTAACCGCAACTGCTGGCACCTAATTAGTTGGAATTTAAATAAATTCTTTTATTAGATTGCTCTAATCTTTAAATTCTAAATGTTAATTTCTCATATTTTTCATATACATTTAATCTAATTTCTAACTTTTAAACTAAAATAAAATTTACAATTAGGTTTTAGATAGTTCTGGTAAAATATATTATATAGTTACATTTAGTTACGTTATAGTTACGTTTAGTTTTAGTTACGAGGGGCGTTCAATAAGTAAGTATCCCCCCTCTCTAAAATCCATTAGAATGGACCAATTTTAAAAAACTTGGGCTCAAAATTTTCCTTAGGATATTTTGAGTTCAACAAAACAAACCGCAACAAAATCGGACTATGTGCGGCCGAACGCGAGCCGTTTGAACGCGCCGAGGTGCTCGACGCTCCCGCCGAATCTGCGAGGATTTGAAGTCCGCTACAGGAGAAGAGCTTCACTGCCAAAGCCTCAGTCGTTCATCACTGACGAAAAATCAAAGGTATTTTTGTAGAATAAGGGGCTTACCTCATTTCTCCACATAACCAGCTCGATCCAAGCAAGTCTGATACTGAGACTAAGACTAAGAGAACAGCTTTTGGATGCCTCGTGCGTGGAAGTCTTTCAGCTGACCGCGGATGAAAGAGTGGACGGCTTGTTTGACCTTTTCCACTGATTCAAAATTAACTCCTCCGAGTTCAGATTTCAGATACGATAATAAATGACAAACCAGACCACCATTTATTCCCGTTCCTGAAATCTGAACTCGGAGGAGTTAATTTTGAATCAGTGGAAAAGGTCAAACAAGCCGTCCACTCTTTCATCCGCGGTCAGCTGAAAGACTTCCACGCACGAGGCATCCAAAAGCTGTTCTCTTAGTCTTAGTCTCAGTATCAGACTTGCTTGGATCGAGCTGGTTATGTGGAGAAATGAGGTAAGCCCCTTATTCTACAAAAATACCTTTGATTTTTCGTCAGTGATGAACGACTGAGGCTTTGGCAGTGAAGCTCTTCTCCTGTAGCGGACTTCAAATCCTCGCAGATTCGGCGGGAGCGTCGAGCACCTCGGCGCGTTCAAACGGCTCGCGTTCGGCCGCACATAGTCCGATTTTGTTGCGGTTTGTTTTGTTGAACTCAAAATATCCTAAGGAAAATTTTGAGCCCAAGTTTTTTAAAATTGGTCCATTCTAATGGATTTTAGAGAGGGGGGATACTTACTTATTGAACGCCCCTCGTAGTTGCTTCAAAAGGGAAAATATCAATAGCCGATGATTCACGCTTCGCCACCGAAGGGATGTCGACGTCGCCGGACACCAGTAAGCGCGGTTCCCCAGCGCGAAGCAGTAATTAAATCTTGGGTTATAAGTTTTATTTTCTGCGCACACCTTGCACACTTCTTTCTTGTTCATGGTGGCAGGAGAACATTGCACCGGGTAACTATATTCCCCTACCCCTACCCGCCCACCTTCCTCCCCCCATCTCGGACGTTGATAGACGCTGAAGGGACTTTCAACCCACGCGCATCGCGCGAGGCGCATGGCTTCGACTAACTAGTTTCCTTTGTGCAGAGCTGAAGCTCATTGCAACCGCATAGAGGAATACAGGTATGGGTACCTGCGAACGTTCGCACGGACGAAGCGTGGAGTCATACCTGTAGAGGTGACCGGGGGGAGAGGATGGGGGGGGGGGGGGAATCGCAGTGCTAGAACCTATGGGTATCGGCAAAGTTGTTCCGTATTGCTAGAGGTGCAGGCTGTCTACGAAGTTCCGGAAAGATAATTCCGGACCTTTTCTTACCGCCCTTGAACTCATTTCTTACCTAGGACTAATTTAGTTAGGTCAGCCGGGACTTCAGTTAATTTTCAAAATCCTTGAGGAGCCGTCCTCAAAGATAAACAACCAATAATAAAAAAAATATTGATAACAAAATTAAATTAATAGTGTGGTGGTTTCCTTACTGAGTCGTACTTAAATCGCAAATCTCCGACGCGTGCTTCGGTAGCCTCATTTTTGCCAGAATTTACAATGAAGCGATGATCCAGAAAAAGGAGCGTATCTATATTCCAAGTGAAAATACAAATTTCGAGTGGAAATTTTGCAACTTTGGAATATTGCTGAATTCCTCCGTCTGGTACACAACGGATTTTCTCGCAAATTCGAAGGACCGCATTTCCAACTCTAAGATAAAAAGTTACGGGCTATACAGACAAACCGTCCATTTCAGGCTCAGCGGCCGAAAGTTCCGGGTGCTGGAGCCGTAGCTTCGACTGCTCCAAGTGCCACGCTCAAAACTTTCGGCTTCTGAGCCCGGAACGCGGACGGTATGTTTATATAGTCCCTAATTACAGCTTCCACGGCTGGATTTTTTTCCAGAGAACTGGGTGCACTTTTGGATAAAACAAATTTTTAGGAGAAAATAGTTTGATTTTGGCCCGTGGGACAGTCTCCTCCGGTTTGACCCCGGAACATCGGATATCGTCTCTGCTCTTGAGCTCTTCGCTCTGGATGGCAACAGCGTTGGCGAGGCTCACACTCGAGCCTCTTTTCCGGCTCCGGTGAATTCGGTCAGTCGTAGCCCGTGGGCGCGAGGGCGGGGGTGGAGAAGGTGGAGTAGGGGGTTGGGGGAGGTGGAGGGGGGATGCAAGAGCGATATTTTCGCGTGAATTTATCGACGGAGCAACTCTGCAACTCAGGATCGTTTTGATTTATCGGCGTATTGAGTCGGCGAGGGCACAACGGGCACGCTGGGCAGTTGGGCATTGCTGGCCAATTGGCTCTTGGACGCGCGCCAGGTCAATATCCATATTATGAGAGATTGATGTAATTAACTCATTTTGAATTGTTACGCGCGCTCGCCCCAAAGCTCCAAGCTCCGCTCACCGCGCCGCCAAGTTCACCACAGCCCACTCTTTAAATGGGTCAGTAGACAAGCGATCAACTCCAGCATAAGAAAGAGTGTAAGATGAAGAACAAGGAGCATCATAGGCGGATCCAAGGGTGCCTAAGAGGGAGGAAGCCTCTCTCTTCGAAAACAATCAGGAGGAAAAAGGGAAAAACGAAAGTGGGAAGGGACGGAGAAAGAAGAAGGAGCGGAGAAGGACAGACAACGGAGAGAAGGAAAGACGCTTACATTTGGTAATTATTCAAGACGAAATTGACTCAAACTGCATCAAACATTCGAAAATTTTCTCGAGGAGGCCCCCGGACCCTCCCCCCCCCTTCCATCCCATTCCTCGTTCGAGATGTCTGGATTCGCCTATGATGAGCATGTAAGCACATTGAGAAATATACGTCACCTCATTTGAGACCTTTAAAGTCCAGGGAATTCATGGTCCAGAGAGTAAAGTATGTATTTGGAGACGATCCGACAACGGTGGATGAGCGCGCGTCTCTGAGAGCCTGCGCGTCGCGACGCGGGCCGAATCCCACCGTGCTACGTCGGTCGCGTCGCACGGCGCGCAGACACGCAACGGCTCGCAAGTTCAAAGTGCAAAACACATTTCACCCCTTCCCCATCCCTTTTCTCCTTCCTGTTCCGAGCCTTACTAATTCCTTGTCCAGCAAACCTATTCGAACGGTGAGAAACTTCGACGATTCGAAACCCGGGAAATTTTCGAGTATCGTGACCGAGGGTCTCCGCGGAGAGGGAAGCCGGATACAATACAGGGTGATCAAAGGTAAAACCTCCACACTGCAGGAGTGTGATCTATGAGCCTAAATAAGAATTTCTTTCAATTTTTGCCATTAGTGCTTTTAACGTGGGTTACGTGGACCTATTTGATACAGTGAATTCATGAATGACATTAGGAAAATCAAAATCGAAGTAAAAACTGGGGTTTCGGAGGTCCGTAGAATATCATTATCATACGCCTAAAAATCAAGGTATTGGTCCTGAAGTGGCACATACAAATGACCATATTCTTCCTTTGTGTACAAGTAACTCTTGTCGAGGGTAATTTCATTTCAATACTGATCGATGAGGTTGAAATGGCTCACCATTCCAAAAGTCATAAAATTGATCTGCTAAACAACTTAAGGCGCTGAGTGCAAGGAGGGCACCTCTAGTTTAAGAAAAAAACTAATGGGCAATTGTCCTGCGAATTTTTCATTTAGAACATTGTAAAATCGTAGAGAATATTCCGTCAAAGTCTTGACAAAATATCGATAGCCGAAGTGCGAATCCACGTACCTGCATTGCGGTGTTTCAAAATTTCCGCTCATATTTTATTTTTTCGAAGAGAGACAAAGTCAGTTTGAAATTTATGGAGAATATTCTCCTGACGTAGAAGAAAAAATCAAAGAAGTTTTCAAGGAATTATGTTGATTAGTTTTCCGGAGAAAAAATATAGTGTCAGGAAGTCTGCAACGTCAGATGGAGATACGTGGTTTCACACCTCAGCCATCGGTAGGTATATGCATTCGCTTTCCTTCGAATGTATGAAATGCTTACGGATATTCTGAGGCACTGCAACCGAGGAATGTCATTTTTGCACCTAGAGCTTCAATTTTGGTCGCTGTAGGGTACTTATGAATTTTTCTTGAACCTGAAACCCTTGTAATTTGCTTTGTTTTTGTTGTGTCCTTTCAGAACTGTCCCACGAAAGCTGAGGCCCGAAGAAGTGCTGCCAAAATAGCTCTAATGAACTCTGTTTTCAACGAGCACCCTTGTAGAAAAATTTCGGATGATTTCATAGAAAAGGCTGTGGCAGAAGCAAGGGCGTCTTTTAAGGTGAGTTCTCTATTTTATAGCTAATAGAACTATGCTGCTGAAAAATGTACATGAAAAGCATCATCGTCATTCCATACCTGCGAAAAGCCTGAGACGGGTCCAGACGTTTCACCGCAAATGATAATTTCAATGAGGGATCTCTTTATTAACTGGGTAGCTAATTTACAGGAATTTACCGGTGCAATAGACTGGGATTGTTTCAATGAACATACTTTTATCAAAATATAAGAAGGGACCTGTTATTCTATTATTTCTCGATCGTATCGTGTCGAACTCTTATTCTTTTCATTTCTCATCTTCTCATTTCCAGTGAGCCTGCAATTGCACAATGATACCACTATTCGACCTCGTGAGAGCTTATGTTGCCTACACTAAATATTGAAGGAGAACTAATATAGCGATAAAGTTAACTCTCCCGGTTCGGTAAAAGCTATTTTTTTTAGCCGGTTCGAAGTGAGGGCGCCATTTGGCTACGCGGGAACGCGTGCTACACTAAAAATTGAAAGCAAATGAACATGACGTTAAAATGGCCTTTTCGACTAAAAACTCTAATAACGAATAAAAAAAATTTGAATAAGCTTACGCGATTCTAACAAAAGTTCTTGTGTCTACTATTTCTCCGACAGAGGCCGTCCGACTATTATCCAGAGAACGGTACCAAAGAAGTTTTTGTCTGTATTTTCTGGATTTAAAACCATGGCTAAAAGTAGATTCTTTTCTCTTTTTTTTTTATCAAAGGCGCACTTGTAATTTGTTATAAGTACCTAGATTAGCGTGACCTTTTAGTCGATCATCGATTATGAAATAGTTGACCACTCTCTCCACTGTTATAGAAACAAGTTCACCCACCTCTATAAAATACGATATAAATCAGCACTGCGCGCCTCCGCCTTGCGCCTCTCCAAATAGTGGACCAAGTCATCAGCTCATGCTTCCGTATTTAAGACAATAGGCCTAGCTGATCGTAAAAAACAAGGATAACTGAAATCATGTCAAAGGTTTGAAACAGAAACAATTTGTTTCAGTCTCGTGTCGCGCATACAGATGAATGGTCTTCCAATGACCATGGATGTCACGTTCTTCATAAATTGACGAAGCGGTACGGCGAAGTGAAAAAGGAATTAAGGATTTCTTCAGTTGAAACTGGCAAAATTGGTCCAGAATTCCCCGGAGCCGGTTTAGCTGGATTATTGCAGTGCAAGAGGACGGATAAAAGGCTCAGTTGTCAAGTCACGACTAAGTTGTTGATCTGTTGACATTTCCTTATCTCAGACTTGAAGCTAAAAATTTTGAAAACTCCGTGGGGGCCGTTTACAAAATACGTCACCCTGAAAATCGTATACCTTTCCTCCCTTCTCCGCTCCTCCTCGTGATGCACTCATTATACATAACACAATTATGCATCTATCTAGTCAAATTAAGGTTGCGTAACCCCTTTCCTCCCCATCGCGAGACTGTTTGGTTATTTAGGTTAGTTTTTCCCTTTGGGCAAACTTGATAGTCTGCCCCTATACGAAACTCTCTAAGATTTCAGAATTTTTTGATGTACTCAACGTGATTTTTGCGCGATTTTACATGCAAGAGGTCAATTCACTCGGTTGTATCCCTCACGTGAAACAGGCCCATTTTCCTCACGAAAATTCCGTTTGTTTAATTTCCGTCCGACAACAATGCCGGGATGTATTTTTGCGGTCGACTCAGACATAGCGATCAGACTTAAGACTTATTTTCCCGTGTGACAGAGGCCGTTGTTGTACATCGCTGTGCGATGGTGGTCTAATTTGTGGGAAAGCTTATAAATTACATGAAGCAATCGGTGCATAGGGCGTCAGTTTGACAACGTTGTCATTGAACCCGCAACTACTTCGTTGCCTCCGTCCGGTCTTGGCATTGTTTACTTCCTTTACAGGTATTTAATCCTTTCTCATACATATACATGCACTCCGATATGAGATACGAGTACACACACCTCTGCGACCAGCTGAGATTACCACCATAGTTGTGCTTCTGCAACTTTTCTCCAAACTTGGATTTCTTGAGGTGGATCTTCAGCATTTTGGGGAGCGATTCTATAGTCGGTCGATCAATCGATACTTTCTGAATGCAAGGACATTTCTTTAGAATCTCCGAGAACCTTATCACAATGTAGCACGTCAGGTGTTTTTGCATAAAATTTGACCCGGAAACATTTTGAAATTGCCTTAAAAGCACGTCCTGGGTAAATATTACAAATCGGAAGATAAATAACGATTTGTGATATTCATTTAGGACGTACTTTTGGGGTTATTTTACAACGTTTCTCGAAAAAAATGTGTGTACATAAAACTGCACGACGAGCTACAGCGTGATGTTATGCTCCGGAGGCAAAAAATGTCCTAAAATCAAAATATTATCAGTTGATCGATCAATTATTTACTCGTTTCCCCAAAGGGTGGTACGCCATGAATGTGATGTGAGAACAAAGACCTTTGATTTTTTTTGTCTAGAAATGATGGTATTTCACACGCATTCTGCCTGTTTACTGACTGCTGTAAAGCATTCACGCTTATGATTTTATCCCCCGATTTTTACCGCGGGGGATTCGGTGACTTCAACGAAAGAGTAGAAAAAATAACCATTGAGAGCCGAGTTATTTTTGGTTATGGTGACAGCTGTTTCTAAAGATCCAAATCCCATATCCATAAGTTTATATATCCATTTTTGGCACCTTGGTAAAGACATTGTTACCTGCTAAAAGTTATTGCTTTCAAATCCAATTTTTCTTCCACGAACAGTGGACCAAAAATGCATATTTTCGAATGAACCACTGAGCAGGGTACGCCATTAAGCGAAACGAAATAGGCGTTTCCTTATCAAAATCTACCGTGGAATACAATTGACGCACCATAACTTTTCAAATCTAGCTCTTTAATTTAGAAAATAGCTGTTTTTGTTCGATGGGAGTTCACACTGCCCGCTCCGAAAAAAAACAGAGTCTACTCCAGTCAAATCGAGCTCTAAACTGCTTCCGGAATGTTATAAGAGGGAATAATTTTCTTGTATCTTCTTCGGCGCAGTAAGCCAGGCTGGAAATAAGTTACGGTGTAAGAGACAAAGAGGTGTGGGTGAGGAGAGGTGTGGTAAACAAATCGCATTCAGTTAATGGCGCATGCGATAGACACTAAACGAATTTCATTATAACGTCTGGATGCAACTATTCAAGCTCCGTGGATGTCCGTGTTGCACACGCATGGGAGTGAAGGCGTTTTGATGCTTAAGGCACTCACAATCAGCGCTTAGCTCGCGTTGAGCGACGCTGGCGAGCAGTACTGCGAGGATCCAAAAAGACAGAATGCCTTCAATTCTTCGTTTATACCACAAATACATCTCTCAGGCACGAATAGTAAATGCGCCCATACAATGTAAGTCGACGGTGAAACTACCAAACCACGTATCTCGGTTTGCGACGTCGCAGACTTCCTGTCATACTTTATTTTTTAAATGAAAAACTACTTAACATCCAGTCTTGAATATTTCTGTGATTTTTCCTCTTTGTGCGGAGAAAATTCCGTGAAAATTTCAAGGAATGATATTGATTTGGTCTACTTCGAAAAAATAAAATGTGAGCGTAGATTTTTAAACACCGCAAACGAGATACGTGGTTTGGTAGTTTCACCGTCGAAGTAAACATACATTACTTTGCCATTTAATTTAATAATCTTTATGAGATGATTTATAAGTAGAGCACTTAAATATAAGTAAATAGAGAGCTAAGAAGAATCAAACCCCCCATAATCCCCCTTCAATAACTACACGGTCTCTGTCGGCGAATTTGTTTCGTTCTTAATAACTGTCGTTAAAAATCGATTAAAATTTTTCAATGATGTTCCTTTCGGTCGGATGAAAACTGAATTTGATGTTTGGTTTAATCAAAATTTCCGATAAGCAATAAATGGTCATTAACGTGAGTGTCCTTCGTACGCTGCTTCCCACTAAGCTGTTTTTCTTTTTATTACCCGTTTGCTTTCCTCTCAGCTGGTTTATTATTTTTAAAGAATATTAATTAGTAAATACAGAGATAGCTTCACGGAGGATAACTTCATTGTCTTCTATTTTAAATCATCTGTAGGCAACGTTTGCCATTTTTTTTATGCTAAGAAGCTTGATAGAGCCCAAGATAGTTGAGCCAATTAGAAATGGATCCGTCAGTGACGGTCCTAGATTCTTCGGTCATTGTGGCCACGCTCCTGGTTCAGAAAGTGAATTGGACGTATTTATACCAAAAGAAACTATGTCTCTCGCAATCCCTATGCATATAGGTCCTTTTAGCAGAAATACGTTCAATTCAAGCGCGAAAGTGTGGGCCGTCACCCGGGCCCACCGCCTCTAGCGTCATAGCTATTTTTGGGCATACTCCAACTCTACGGCCACTCAGCGGATCAATGGACCACTAGAGAGACTCCGACTTTGAGAGATATGTTACGCCATATGTGAGAGCAGAAAAAATTCGTATTCAAGCGCATGACAAAATTTAATTCATGCTTAGAAAGAATGAAAGATTCATATTATAGGGACCGTTCAAATATGATTGTCAATGGGAGAGGTCGGACAAAATTTAGAAACTTTAAAAGCTTTTAACTCCGTTCATACTAATTTTGAGGCTCTAAAAGTGTGTTTCTTCGTTTCCTAGTGAAATTTTCTTCCAGAGTCACCCCTTGAAATTTAAAATGTGACGAATTAAACATCAAAATATGCAGTTTTAGTCGAAAATATCATGTCCGACCTCTCAGATTGACTCGACCCACTGTGCGCCGTAATAAATACTATCCCGAAAGAGTGTCACTCGTACCTTTTCATAACTATTTCACAATCTGGCTCTGCACTTAACTCGTAGATTTCTAATGATGAATATTTCTATCAGCAATGCATGTTTCGGTGTGCCTTTATTCTTATTGATCGGTAAAATTATTAAAAAAAACTGAATCTCCGACTTGAACTGCACAGTATTTCTACCGACTTAATAACGTTATTTTTTGACTGACAGAAAAGGACGCTCATTCATATAAAATTTGACAACCGCTCTTCATCTTGAGTTTATGAACGAAAAACTCGTATGAAAAATATACCTGATTTAAATGAGATTCGAAAGTAAAGTTCAATGACCAGATTACGCGAATTGTGGACCAAGGTTGTCTAGTTGTAGGAAAACGTTATAATTATTCTGTATGAGAATGTTTTATATTAATTGCCTCCAAACAATCGGAACCGGAAATCAATTGCAATCCATTCATGAATCAAAACTTCCTGCGTGGTCCTCATTTCATAATCTCCTGCCGAAAGGCTTGTCCGAGCATTTTAAATCGTTTCAAGATCGTCCACGCTTATGTAAATGTCGCAGGCAAATAGCGAAATCAGGCATTTTGTCAAATGCATAGGCATAGATGGTCAAATTTTGACGGCCTACAAAATTTTGTGAATTTATGGCGAAAAGCTCACGATTTATCACTATTTTTGGAAAAATAATTCATCAAACCTACGAACTCTTTTTGTCCCTTCCTCTTCAATTGCTTCTCATTTTTTTAAATGCTGAAATTCCAAAAATTCTGTATTTTACGACATGCTAAAAATGTCAAAATCAGTGTCTCTTCAGGAGCTGAAACTCGTTCAAAATACTATGTGTGTGCAAATTTTTACTGAGACTGTTTTCTTGCAGGAGCAATAAATTATTTTGTCTGAAATTAGGAAAAGAATCAGAATTTCAATCTAAGTTAGAATATTTGACTATTTGCCTAGGCATTTGACAAAATGCCTGATTTTACTATTTGCCTGCAACGTAAATAAACAAGTCAAATCCACATCGGACACAAAATAAGTTTCCCTCAGATTCGGCAACCAGGCTTCAAAATAAAGATACGGCAGACACAACAATAATAGTCTCCATCCGAGACCGTGAGAGCGAGCCTTAAGTGTAGCTAATAAAAATTTTACCTCCTCCGCGCCGCTATATTTATGGAAGCTTGCATGATTTTTGTGAGTATTGGAAATGCTTCACCACTCCTTTCCCTACTTCCAAGAGAACAGAATAAATGTGGACGGTGAAACCCCAACACCACTTATCTCGTTTGCAGTGCTTAAAAATCCACGCTCCTATTTTATTTTTAAAAGGGGAACAAGTAGATTACATTTTGCAATAAGGAACCACTATTTTTGGCTCATTTTAGAAACAGCATGTAAGCCATTGATTTTCCCATGCAGATACGTGCTTTTATGCAGAGATAGTGGTTCCTCATTGCAAAATGTAATCCAAGTCGTCTTTTCTCTCACGAAAGAACGTAACTACATTTCAATATTGTTAGATTTTCCCGAGCAAATTGTATTTTCATGAGGAGAATTTTGAGAATTTCTGACTGAAAATTTCACTATTTTTTTCTGATCTCGTGCAAAAATCAGCCAAATTTTCGACAAAAATTATGCAGATTTACTCTCATAAAAAATCGTATTGTTTGAGTCAAATTTTTTGCAACCTTAATATGGAGTTAAGCTCCTTCGTGCGGGGAAAGACGAAGTGTGAACGTTATTCCTTGAATTTTTTAGAATTTGCTTCGCTCAGAAAGGAGAAATGTCTGTAATTCATAAATATTTACTTCACAGTGTTTAATTATTTACTTAAATGAAGTATGACGAGAAGTTCGCAACGTCATAAACCGAGATATGTGATTTAATTCAAAATTTCCTACTTTAAATAAGCCCCTCTCCGTCAAGACTTTGCAACAGATTTTGTATTTTTGCTATCTAAAACACGGCTTCAGTTATTTCTCGCTATTTTCATGATAGTTTTCTTGCTTGTATGCAATTTCGAGAGACTCAAACAGTCAAGCGGCCTGCTCTTTAGCTCAAACCTGTATGAGGCGTTCAGAGCGCCTTCAATTTTGACTTGAGCCACACGCTTTACATGTCAGTGAAGGCGTAAGATACCGTAGATCAAGCCTTGATCGTTGGCTTACGTTAATCATCTAGTCTAGGTACTGGTGATCTGTATGAATTTGTTATTCACGGTGAACGCACTTGAGCCGGTACAAAAAAGTTAAAAGTTTGTTAGAAAAAAGTTAATTGTTTCTGCAGGACCCATTACTTTAACACGATTTTAAAATGTAAAAAAATTAACAATTATATATAAATACGGTTAAACAATTTTCAGATAAGACTTTTTACAAATATTCTATTAATGATCAAAATATTTCTTCCAATGATTAAAATATGTCTTTAAAACTTTTGATGTCTAATCAGTGTTTTTAATGTTTGATTTGTTAACGTTTTAAAATTATTGAAAAATAACCTCCCAACTCTCTAAAGACGCATAAGTCACCATACCTTATCTTCTTAACTATTTCGAAATTTTCATTGAAATTTTTTACTTTTGTCTCCTTTAGAGAAACGTTTTTGACACATTTACATATTTCCAAAGATATTTAAAGACATATATTTTAAGCGCTACTGTGCTACTAGAAGCATGTCATGCAGCAACGCCCTCCACCGAGTTACAAAAATAAGTATTTGCAAATTTTCGGACAATGCGACAGACAGTTTATGTGAATTTTATGGCGTTCGAATTAAAAAGAGAAGAGCTGACACGAATTTTATAAAAGTAGAATGTTATAATTGACAAAAATTTATTCACACTTAATCCTACAAACAGTCTCTCATTTATTGCTAGCTTGTATTGGAGGAACCTAATCTATCGAATTGTGACTAAAATCAAACCTTAGGATGATACTTTAAGTAAAATATTTAGTTTGAGCTCAAACAAAGTTAGCACTGTTAAGTATTAAAAATCGCGTCCTCGCTATATGAATACTTTTCCAGATGTATTCCTCATCACAGGGCTTCGTTTAAGCCACATATCAATGGCATTTTGGTTTTCAAAAAAATTCAGAAAAGTTCAACTACGTCTACTCTGACGTAACTTTAACTATTTGTTAATCTGCAAGTTTTATGAGTGAAACTATCAACCAATTACCAACACTTTTTGCTGAATCATTACCTTTGCTGTCTATATCGCGCCTGGAGTTCAGGTAATAGCTTATCAGTAATTTCTCTATCAAATCGGACGGATTGTTCATCGTTGAAGAAATTCTTCCAATCATTCACTTGGCCCTTGCGAACAAATTCAAAACCGTTGGAATTCCTCAAGCCGAGCTTGTCCCAGTCATGACGATTGATGGTTTTGTTCTGTCGCATCCGATCAACACTGAGATGGTCCAACAGCTGAGCCCAAGCACGCTCGTCGTTCGGCTCCTGACAATTTAAAAATGCGCACACTTTTCTCAGTTGTGCACGCAAATCCTGTTTCATATCTTCGTAGAATACAACCATGGTGCTTCCCGGATTTGCTTGATGATATTTGAACATATCATTGTACATTTTCCAAATCGGCCCACAAGGCACTTGGCCTCTTAGGAATGTCTCGAAGAAATCGTCGAATGAGAACTCAATGTCATAATGTTTCACCGTTTTGCAATGATGATAAAACGACACCAAAACATCCCGCGGATTCCTAAATATGGATATCACTTTCGGCTTGGTTGCATCCGAACCCGCTCGTTCGATGAGCAAGTTTGGTGGCACGGAAGATTTTATGAGTCTCCGTGAATTCGAATCGTTGTATCGCTTCAAGATCAAGTCGAAAACATCGTGTGATGGAGAATCGATTTGCGGGAAACGAAGCTCGATCGATTCTTCGGAAGCGAGCTCGTATTTGTACTGATTTACTATCAAATAAATGCATTCACTGAGCCATGTTGAGCCGGATTTTGGGAACATGCATAGAATCACGTCATCTTCTTTGAAGGTCAATTTTTGGATTTTACATAGTATTTCGATTGCTCTGGGATGAAAATTGTAATCGCCCCACCGGTACAAAAGCGACGTTCCGAAGCGACTAACTGATTTTGCCTCGGAGGTGTCGACCTTGATGACGCGATCATTCTCATCGAAAGTAGCTTTGATTGGTGAAAAGACACTCATTTCGTTTCCTAGATTTCCTCAATTGTACAGCCAGTCACTTCTTGGAGAACTTCCACTCCTTTTATTTTCAATCGGCTCTTTTTGTTCTATCTTTAACAGTGAAGACGCAATCAAAATGCCTGAACACGGTGAAAGTCTCTTCGTGGCAATTTTCCATACGACGATAGGCGATGATCTTAATTTACTTGACTATGATTTATGCACACTCAAAAAATCAAGTTTTATGGAGAGCTAACACGAACCGTTGCAAACTTCTACAATAGTATTTGGATGATTCACTAGACTTGAATTTTTCGCGGAGGCAAATTTTCCATACTCGAGAAGTAAAAAGTACACTACTAAAATCACGCTTACTTTTAGTAAAATTTTACACTTGTCTCAAAAGGATCATTCAATTTCCAGAGTCAGTCAACAACTAAACCCGAAGTAGGAACAAGTCGTCAGCGATGAAAACAAAGGAAACTGCATAAACAGATAGTAAAAGTATTTGTAACCTCGTGTTTTATCGCGCTCAAAGCGTCTAATTGCGTCATTGTGACACATTTGTATGCACCTAGTTCAGGAAAAGCTTACAAATCACATTGATTCGTTGTTCTAGTGGAAAGCCATGCAATTCTTTTCGACCCGTGTCAATCTCATCCAATGAGCACCAGTTCTGGGAATTATAAAAAATGTCCCCAGGACAGATTCGCGGTTATTTCAATCGCAGAGAATTCACTTAAAAGGGCCGCTCACAATATCGATCGTCAAAGTGCGAAACCTCGTAGCTCCATATTGCAGCGTTTCAAAATGTCCGCTCCTATTTTATTTTTCCCAATAGATACAAGCAAACCTTAGGTATAGTTTGAAATTTATAGATAATACTCTGCTGACAGAGAAGAAAAGTCGAGGAAGTTTTCAAGAAATTGCGTTGACTAGTTTTTCGGAGAAAAAATGAATTATGTTTGGAAGTCTGCAACGTTGCAAATGGAAATACGTGGTTTCGCAATTTGGCCATCAATATGCGTAACGCTCTGCGAAGAAAATGGGTCGGAGCGTGCGTTACGAGTGCGGTACAGAGGTAGGGCTGCGTTACGTAACACCAGAATACAATACAGGTATATAAGATTATAGATCTATAGATTTAGAGATATAGAGATATAAAAGAGATATATATAAGAGAATAGTTTCGCGAGTATAAGATAAAAATCAACGATAGGTGGCAATTTTGCATCCTAAATTTATCACAAAGCCCTAATTTGACAAGGGAAGGGATCACAGGAAGCGTAACGTAATTTTTTCTGGGCATTGCAATGGTGCAGACCTGTGTCACGAGTACGTTACGAGGGAGAGGGGAATAAAAAAAATCCGATTCTCAGCGTTACATATTTCTACATGGTAGAAATGGCTCAAAAGTTGCGAGTCTCTATCTTCAAATCGTTCAAATGTTCCGGAAGATNNNNGGGGGGGGGGGGGGGCGGCGGCACACCTGTATTAATTGATGCCGTGAAATGGGTATTCTCCTCGTAAGTAGCAATCATGAAAACTACTGATTTTCTCAGTCAGTAGAGCACTCTCTGAATTGCACGGAGAGAGATTAGCATGTTTTACACTATTGTCATAAATGAGAGGACTCTTTAAGCAGAGAAAGAGCTACCGCTACGACCTCCGACCTTGCCCCAACTCAATGACTGAAAACATGCTTACGAGATAAAGCTTGTTTTTTCTGCTCCCTCTGCCCTCACTTAGCTCGATGCGTGCCTTATCAGTTATGTTGTTCCTTCATATTGACACCAGGAGAAATAAGAAAACAATGCTACTCGTAGTTCCTACTAACCGTAAAAAATAGTGCACAAATAGTTGAGTGAGATGACCTTGCATGGACTCATTACGTGCGTATTCATCTCAACAGTCGCAAATATATCTCTCCCACGAACACCACCTCGCTCGCACTTGCAATTGGACTACTTCTTGCACTAAAACTGATAATTAAATCGAAGGAAATTTCTGCAACGCCATTTTATACGGGGTTCATCCGTCATGCAGCAGATCCGCACCGAAATCAGACGTTGCAATACCCTGTGCGACCGGCCATCATAGAGAAAAAAAAGGAGGTGTTCGCATCTTGAGGTTTGTTTACCCTGTGACGTAGGTCGGTACAACCTGGCCAGCGAAATCCGGAGTTCGAAGTATGAAAAACGGACCATAATGTCCCATTTTTTTGCTTGAATCAACTCATGATATAATTTCAAGCACTTTTCATGGAATGACTTTTTTCCATAAATTAGGTACACCATTTCCAAGAAAATCGATGATAAACGTCGCTGTACCGACCTACGTCATCCAAAAAATTCGAAGATGCCCGAAATGCAAACACCTCTTTTTTTTTCTATGACCGGCAATGCCCCTTTATTTTCTCTCTCTTATCTCGTTGCCCAGATCATAACGCATTCGTACGCGCAATGCCTACAAAAATAGGGCAACTTCGCAGTGTCCCTTTTTTTAAAGCGTTGTGCTCCTCATATCAAAACGGTCATTGAACTTTGGGATGGTATTGGTGTCGCACACGGTGCACGGTCAAAAACGGTTTGATTTTGAGAGTCGCCGCACAATGTGTCAAGTCAATAGGAGAGGTCGGACAAAATTTGGAAACTTTAAAGGCTTATGACTCCGTTTATACGAAAGTTTGAGGTTCTAAAAGTGGTTCTAACGGTTTTCTCGTGAAATTTTCCTCTAGGAGCCCCCCTTACCGTTTTAGATGTGACGAAATAAATATCGAAGTTCGCAGTTTTACTTGAAAATTTCATGTCCAACATATCTTATTGGCTCGATCCACTGTGTGCCGGGTGCGTATACTTAATTCGCGAATGCGGCCACTCGAAGCGAGCAAGCGCATGTTGCAAAAACATCCGCGACAAACTCTAAAAATGCAGCCTCCTCAGATTCCTTTTTTGGCCCGGGTCACTTCCTCCAGATGCAGACCCGACAAAGTCCGCAATGCCGATGATGAAACTCCCAAAACCACGTATCTCAGTTTGAGACTTTACAAAGTTCCTGCCATACTTTATTTTTTGAATGGAGAACTACTCTACGTCCACTCTTAAAAACTTCCGTGGTTTTTCTCCTCTGTTAACATCGATAAGAACCATCAAGTGAACGTGCCAGAGGGGGAGGGAGGGGTGCATAAGACGCGTTTACCTACTCGTGCTGGATACATTTTTTGCGAAAGCCCTGTCAACACTACAAGCAAAATTTCATGGAACTTTGCGCGAAAGTTAAGTTCCGTAAACCTATCTCTGTGTCGATAACGTCCTCTATTAATGAGAAATGAACAAAAAAAAATTATGAAAGAGCAAACGTAAATGTGGAATAATGGTTTTAACTTCGGCCGCTGCGCCGCCGCGCTGATCGCACTGTGTTTGGCGCAATGCGTGAAGTATTCCTACAGTCTTGTAGGCGCTATGCGTTTCACGCCAACCGCTCCTGACCGCACTGTGTTTGGCGCAATGGGTGAAGTATTCATGCAGTCTTGCAGGCGCTAATATGTGCTACATGCCGACCGCCGCGCCGAGAGCTTCTCCTTTTCATCTCAAGTCCTCGTCATCATTCCTCCCTGCGCTGAGCTCCAGGCCAAATTGCGTGTTTAGTTCCTCTCTTAACTCGATCAATTAAAGATGCTGTCTCTTGTATCACCGAAAAACGACAAAATTAGAAATTACTATACTCTCAGGAAAGAGAGATTTTGTCTCCTTTTCTCATTGATAATTTTTTTTTCTGTTTTCTCCTTGCATGCACGGTGAGATAAAATCACGGAAGTTTTTAAGAACCGCCGTCCAGTAATTTTCCTTTTGAAAACAGAGTGTGACCGGAAGTCTGCAACGTCACAAACCGAGCTACCGTGGTTTGGAGGTTTCACCGTCGATTAAAATCGCAATTTGTCCGGTAATCCATTCCCTGACTTTCCAGGGTTCCCAGCGGGCTGATGATTGAAACTGATCGACGAAGCGATAGACAAAGAGGATAAATCGAAAACAAAGCAATCCTGTCAGTTGAAACGGATGGTTGTTGTAGACTTATAAGGAAAATGATGAACTAACCATAAGGGTCTTGCCGTCAGTGACGTCTATTACTCGTACTTATCGCTTTTGTCCATTGCAACCACCTGCCCTCTCCGATAGGATTGCTCCATTTATGCCCTTGGTATTCTCTTTGACTATCATCACTTAGTCTACAGCTTCGTCTATTACTTTATTTATCGCTTAGTCTAAAGTTTTGTCCATATCGTTGTCTATAGCTTTGTCTATAGCTGTGTCAATCGTTTTCTCTATAGCTTAGTCTAAATTTTTGTCCATATCGTTGTCTATAGCTTTGTATATAGCTGTGTCAATCGTTTTCTCTACAGCTTAGTCTAAATTTTTGTCCATATCGTTGTCTATATAGCTTTGTCTATAGCTGTGTCTATGAATTTGAGTAAATAGCCGGCTGATTCGGTGGGAGTTAACCGGATTTCGTTGTCTTTGTTTTGGCTAAAGAGATTATTGGTGTTGCAGGGAGACCCGGAGGAGGCGGACAACCCGAACACGGGGATCGGGGCGTTCCGGTTCATGCTGGAGACGAATAAGGAGCGGACGATGCTGGAGTTCCAGGAGCTCATGACCGTGTTCCAGCTGCTCCACTGGAACGGGAGCCTGAAGGCGATGCGCGAGCGGCAGTGCTCCCGGCAAGAGGTCGTGGCGCACTACTCCAACCGAGCCCTGGACGACGACATGCGCTCCCAGATGGCCCTCGACTGGATCGCCCGCGAGCAGGAGAACGCCGGCGCCCTCGGTCGGGAGCTGAACCAGGCCGAGCGGGAGCTCGAGACCGCCCGACTCGCCGGCCGGGAGCTCCGCTTCCCCAAGGAGAAGAAGGACATCCTCATGCTCGCACACAACCAAGTCAACGGCGGATCCCTCTCCAGCTAAAATTCGGCCCCCGATCCCCAACCCAGCTCTAGCCCCACGCCTCAGCCTCCCGCCGCCCAACTCACTAAACCTAATCAGAGGCATAATCAAAATCCTCCCTCCTGTCCTCTTACATCAAAGCCAATGTAGCACTTTCTAGAACGACCCCACCCCCAAGTAGCAAACGAAAAGTTGCAGACAGTTTCGATTTCTTAAAAAAAATGTATCTGCACTGAAACAATTAATATGCTGTTTCAGCATCCAGGAAGTCAAGAATGTGTCTGGTGATCCCACGATGCTGCCTTTACTGCCCCTGCAGTTGACATTACATCCTGCGAATGCATCTTAGGACAATCAGACACATTTTTGACATCCTAGGTGCTAAAACAGCATACCATTTATTTGTGTGTCGCAGGCAATGGAATTCATGCTAGGGCGGGTTCGAAGATTTTCGATTCAAGTATACTGTCTTTGATGTACAATTCCGCGAGAAACACGATAGTGCCACTGGCTCTCTTCGAAACTTTCGAGCTCGAAAAAAGCTCCTAAAGTTGAGGCCGTAGAGGAGGGGATCCCCTACACTACGCTGCGAGTTCACCTCTATGTACAGCCAAACTCATCGTGCACAGATAGGGAGGAAATTCAACAGCAGGGTTGTCGTCCACACAAAGTGGCGACCCTGCTGATATGTTTACTCCCTATCGGTGCATAAAGAATTTGACTGGATGTACTTAGAGGGTGATACTCGGCGAAGCGTGGGGGATCTCCTCTATGACGGCCTCAACTTTGACAGCTTGTTTTGAGCTTCGGAGTTTGCCTCAGAGCAACCCAATGGCACCATCGTGTTTCTGGCGAATTTTTACGTGAAAAATAGTATACCTACTTTAATCGCAAATCCTTCATACACGAAAGAGCTCCATTAGCAGTCACCGGCTGTTACCGGTCGAATGTAGTAAAGCAGTAGAGCAGTGCGGCAGTATGAATAGAAAAGCATAGAATTTAGAAATAAAGTGACAAGATCTTAGTGCTGATTATTATTTTGCCTTTAATTGGAAAATACGCTTTTTCCTCCGTAGAAACAATTTTAGGTAGAAACTGGCACACTCACGAAAACGTGTGGTGAAATCCGTGGCCTTGGTTGGATTTGGGTCGGACAGGCAATTAAGCGAACGATGCGAAGAAGCGTAGGGTATCACGAGAAAATGAAGGCGCTCCAAGCCGAGATGGTGATTTTAAAGGCCACCGATTGAAACGCCACGATCATACGTTATGCGATTTTTAGTGACAACTCTAACTTAAGCCACTCGCAAATCAGCGGCAATGGCTAATTGCCTCCAATATATCCCCTGTCGTCGGCCTCCAGTTGTAAAAACTATGTCATGAATTGAGAGGATGAACATGAGCCATCACTAAAAATGTTGATAAAAGTGCAACCTCATCATGATGTTCAGTTAAATAGGTGCAGCCAAATTGAAGGGAATTCTAATAATTTGATTTGCAATCGCTTTTTATAATAAAAACAATGCTACTTGGGTTCCGTCAATCATCGATAATAATCTCTGAATTTTAGGAAATATTTAAAAATACTTAAAAAGCCATATCATGCTGTGGTGAGTAGGATTTCAAAATACAAAATTTGAGTGGTAAGTACTCTAGCATGACTCCAAAAATACGTCCCGAGTGAATTTTTCAATTTCAAGACAAAACAATGAGTTTGGTACAACAGACACTAGGGGAATAACTACTATCCTTTCAAGTTCGTTTTTCCCATCAAATTTTGTACATTATTATATTAATAGAAGCACTACAGCGTTTGGTAACTTTCGGAGGGATATTTTTAAAAAAAGTCTTACTTAGGTACCAAAAATTATCAGCTGATTGATTGACCACTGAACTGTTCTGAAGTTGTTGAAAAGTGTAGGTATCACTTGACGCTTTCAGATGGGACAAGACAGGGTCTCAGCCTATGTAATAGTGCTTGTTGGGCCAAAGCCTGATGCTCAGCACTATCATTCAATCCTCCAATTTTAAATATTTTTAATATTATCAAGCCAAAATTTGTAGAAAAAACCAATGTTAACTAAATAGGATGGAATCCTGCTCAGCATTCAATAATTCAAAAGCGGAGAAAACTGGGTGTGCTTTGCCAGTGAGTTATGAAGAGCTGAAGAACAGAAAAAGTCTATCAAATACCTAATACTCAAAAGCTTTCAAAGAATAAAAAAGTAACATTATTTTTTTAGAATAAGTGGGTAATACAAAGCAACCTATTTTATCAGGGGCATGAATTCGGTAAAATCTGTGAGGAAATTAGAAAGATAGAGTGAACTGGCTACTCTGCAGAATTCCTAAAGTTCAATCATGTCAATAGACTGGTTTTAAAACGTATTATGGTACTGTAATTCCTTTGTAATTTTGTGTACAGATCATTTTTTGTGTTCCGCCCAGCGGAATTTGTGATTCTATGAGATTTCGCTTATTATTGTAAGTTATACTTAAGATGGTGATATATTTTTCTTGTAAATACCTACTTGTATCTCTACTTATTTCCTCCTTTTTAAGTTTAGAGTTTATAAAATAAAATTTACACGTATACTGCGCCTATCAAAAGACTTGTTGATATGTTGAAACAGATCATCAGAGGGATGCAATTTTTGCCACCAGATTGTATAAAATTAAGACTTAGAGAATAATTTCCTAAACTTTTCTTGGCCGCTCTGAATGGCCGCCTGTTTCAGGGAGAGATCAAAAGGATTTCAAAAGGATCCTTATGAATACTTTTCACACCAATTCATTTTTTGCGGGGCTTCATTTTGATTTTGTTTGAAAGATCAACTCAAAAATTCAATGAGCCATTAGACAAGGTACGAATTTAGGCATTCTGAAGTATGTTTCCTCTTTAAAATTTTATGCGGTACACGATTTGTGCGACAAAAATTACTGACATGAACTCCCAACTAAGATACAGGAAGGGCTGATTTCATATTGATCTTTCAAGTGAAACCAAGATCAAGCTTCTAGCTAGCTTGCTGTTGGAATCACAAGTTTAGTTCGGGTTCTTTCTGAACATCCTATGTAAAAAAAGAAAAGAAAATCTGGCAGGATTTAAAAATTCCTTGAAAATTGTTTTAACAAAAACTAACTGTGAGTAAATTGAGAGGTACTGTTTTTACTCTACCTCACACTCTTCTAGAGAATGATGTAGTAATTTTGCAGGTGATGATAGGCGACTAGAAATTCCAAATAAAATTTGATTGTGAATATGTACTTAAGTATGACTGTATGTATGTTTGTTTGTTAATAGAGAATTTTAAAATGAATTAATAAGCATATTAAAAATTAAAATTTTATTTAGCAGCTGGTATGAGCCCAGACTAGTCAAAACTTTTAAATCATCGATCATTTTATTATTTTTCCTATTTAACTTCCAGAGGAAATTACGTTCCATTTACTTTTCTCCCAATTATATCAAATCTTGAATTAGATCTGGTTACTATTTACTTGATTGTATTCTGTGATTACCTGGAAACATCTGTCTCTAATCTTTAACATCGAAGATTTGTCCGATACATCTGCGAAGAGAAGCCAATGGCACAAAAAATCATAAAGAATAAAATTCTCAGAGCAGTTTTTTGAATCAAAATGTAATGGTTTGAAGCCAGATGTGTTCACCAGCATTATTTGGGAACGATACTGTCTTTGGTTTTCCAGTTGTAAAAGTGAATCTTTAAAGACCCTTCTCATTTAGTTGAGATAAAAAATCATTAGTCTAACCCCAAGTTTTATGCATCACAATGAGATATGAATAAGGAGCAACAAGCATTTCCTCCTTATCAAAACTAAAACAGATTCTTGCAGTTTAGATACAAAAGTTGTATACTCAACACAAAACTTGCATTATTTGTCTTGAATGTCTCACTTCTATCGCCTTTAAACTCTTAAATCCAATGAAAAAAATGAATTGACGCACATACAGTTTGAAATTAAAAAGTATATTTTGATCATGGTCTCCCCATAAAAATAAATCAATAAAAAATAAAACATTAACTGATCAACAGCAACTTGATCTACGCCTGATTTGATCTGAAATTTATAAAAAAAATTGTGTCCATTGGATCAACATGAATCGATTAAGATCTAAAAACATGAACCAATCAATTGCAATTTGATCAACACCAATTCAGACAACATACATTAATCAATCACCAAACCTGTGATTTGATTGAATTTGTTCTCATTCGTCAAAGTGTTGATCAGATAGGTGTCAATAAACTCTGTGTCGATTGAGTAGCTGTAGATTTAGTAGCTGTCAAACAACTAACTGTCGATCAGTTCATGTTTTTATTTTATATCGTTTTATGTTGATTGTGGTGGAAAACACTAAACAACACCTGTTGTCAAATTTTCTTTCTCTGCAAAATTTCAGGTATATTGTCAAACAAACAGAAGCAAAAATTTCAAATTTTGCAGTGCTGTCTGCACAAGAGCAATTTACTTTTTGCATTATCGAATTTTTCATTGACAAATGGGCAATTTCGATTGAAAAATTATTTAATAGTGATGGAAATATTCTGCTATAATGTAGAACTAACCATACTTAATTTCTTGAAAAGAGCTTGATGCAAAAACGGCTTTTTTCGCCCCCCCTCTGGAAGTTCTTCAGACTTTGTCTATTGATTACTCATACTTGAGCGCTTCTTTTCCCAAATTTTCAGACTCCCAAAAAATGTTGGGGGGGAGCTAGGGGGGGTGGAAGTCAAAACCTGTAAACCTCGATATCTCTTGAACAAAGAAAGATATCGAGGTCCGATTTGGACGAAAAATCGTCTAAAATTGCATACTTTAAGATTCTAAAGGTCGATATCCCGATATCACATTTTTCAGTCAACATACGTGCTTTTTTCCAGTTTTTAGGTCTAAAAAATTTCTTTTAAACGAAAAATTTACAAAGATCTCAATTTTTTATTTGAACCAAAACCAGTTTTTTAAATTGTTCGTCTTTTTCCGCCTCCAACGAGTGGTCCATTAAGCTGGGGAACCAAACGGTTCCGGAGTAATGATCGATTGAAGTTTCCGCTCAACACGCGCCGACCGATTTTCGCGCGCAAAAAAGTCGGATTTGACTGTTATTAGATCAGATTGAATGTTCAAACTGAGCAAAATGCTTTATTAGGGA